GGCAGTGTCACTGGCCCTCATATGTGGGATCCGAACCGGGGCCCTCTGGCATCCCAAGCGAGTTCTTAACCATCGCGCCACTCGGCCGGCCCACGGCACACTTTAAAACACACTTTCTCTCAACCATAGCTCACACTCAACTGACTGCACCAAACAAGTTGAAACTTGTCACACAATGTTGCTAAGGTTCGCCGCATCACTTCCTGTATTGAAGATCCCTGCCTTTCTGTTGGATGGCACTCGGCAGCAGCATTCATGGTACTTTTTTTTATCACAACAGAAAGACTCCATGTCACACATCGCTACTTGTATATGGCAATTTCTGTCAAATAAAAACATTACGGTGTGTCCTCATCCACCTTATTCACTGGATCTGGTATCATGCAACTTCTGGCTCTTCCCCAAAGTCAAAATGACCATGAATGTTTTGAATTGATCAGGACATCGAGGCAGCCATGACAGTGTAACTAAAGATGCTCACAAAATAGGACTTCCAGAACTGCTTCAGAAAGTGACAAGAACAATGGGATAATTGTGTGTTTGAATCAATGGGGAGTGTTTTGAGGGGGATTAATGGCAATGTGTTTTTTCTTGTAATAAATTTTTTAAATTTAAACAGTTGCCGTATTTGTTTGATCACACCTCATATATGTGTGTGTGTATTATATATATATATATATATATATAAAATATGCTTTTCATTACCACATTTCATTTTTATGCTTCACCTTTAAATTCAGAGGTTCTTAACTAAGAAGGTATGGAATCCTCTGCTTTAAGTAGAAATGTTTGTGGCAATGTACTTTCCCACCATAATGTTATATCATCATCACCAGCTGCTGCTCTTTTTTTCAGGCTGGACGGCAACTGGAAGCTGAGCAAGCCTACAAGTACACAATAAAGGTATGATGCAGATGCCTCTGTTGTTTGTCTGCACTGTACTGGGGCTGGGAAACTGGAAGGTACTGCCTTAATTCAGGACTTTATAGCATTTCATGATGTGAATATTTTTCTAGAGGCTTTTCTTACCATTGTGCCATTATCACAGGGCTGCTGGGTTTGGAATAATAACCCACATAGTACCATGGGGGACCTTTTTTATACCTCTGTGGAGAATATGGCTTAATGGAAAGACAGATGGCCTGAGAGTCAATAGACCTTAATTATGGTCCTAGTTTTGCCATGAACTTACTGTATTAACCTTTCTGGGTCTCATTTTCCTCATGTGTAAAATGAAGATGTTGGTCTTGTCCAGGAGTCAACAAACTTTTTCCGTAAAGGGAAAAACAGGAAATACTTTAGGCCTCTCTGGGCCAAACAGTCTCTATCGCAACTACTACATGTACTCTGCCTCTGTAGTGAAAAAAGCAGCCATAGATAATACATAAACAAACGAGTGTGGTGATTGTGTTTCAAATAAAACGTTGCTTACAAAAACAGGCAGAGTTCTGGATTTGACTTTTGAGCAGTGGTTTGCCAACCCTAGTCTATTCTATCTGTTATGAATTTAAGTAATTTGACTTGAAAGGCAGTGGCTTAAACAAATTAGGAGTTTTATTTTTCTCATCTAATGAAGAGGCCAGGGCTGGTACTACTACTCCACAATGTCATCAGAGATACAACTCTTTCTGCTCCAGCAGCCATAGCGTAATTTCCGTCCCTCATAGTTGAAGGACAGCCATTGTAGTTCCAGCCATCATATCCATGTCTCAGGTATAATAAGGAACAAAAGGGGGGAAAGGACAAAAGGGTCATGCTAGCTATATCACCTCCCTTTAAAGAACATTGACTTTAACTTGCATTTCATTGGCCACATTGGTCATAAGACTACCCCTAGTTCCAAGTGAAGCAGGAAATGTGGCTTTTTAGCTGGCTGCATTGCTGTGCTGAAATGAAAATTTTCTTAGTTTTAAAGGAGAGAGGTATTCAGTAGGCGACTAGATGTCTCTACATCTAGATTCTAAAATTAAGTTCAAATCTAATATCTTTGATTCATTGCTGTCACTTACCAAGTGGGGATAGTATACATTACTCAATATACATTGGGTGATAATGTGAATCTTTTAAAAATAAACTTTATTAACGTTATTTTTTTTTAAATGCACAAATTGTGAATGTTCAGACCACTTGATAAATTTTCATAAAGTGAACATAAAGTAACCAGCACAATGTTGAGGTCTTTTAATGGAGTTACCACGAAGTAGGGAATATAGCCAATTCCATTCCAAGTAACAGTGTTCTTTAGCTGTGGCCCCAAAAATGAGGGGTCTCCACATAGATATATCAGGTATGATGTGTCCCTTTCCTTCCTTTCTTGCAGCTGAAATTGAAAGATGAGGCTCTGCTTGCAGAGATCCACATGGTGCAGGAGACAGTTGGCTTTGGCAATCCATCTTTTTAACATCCTCCCAGCTGAAGAATTTCCTGTTTGGGATTCTGAGAAATTAAACCCTGGATGCTTCACAATATGAGAGCTGGGGATGGGGAACAACAAAGTCTTCACCATAAACAGAAACCCATTCATTTATTTCCACTGGCTATCTTACTAGATGGCTATGTTACTGGTTGATTTACTTGTTTACAATAAACTGGATGACAGTACAAAATGGAAACGAGATTCAAAATTCGTCAGTGTGGTTCTGGGGTTAAGGTATATTGAGAGATATATAAGAATATAAATATATATACACATATATGTATATTTATAATTAAGGTATAGTGGGTTTATTATTAGGATTTCTGAAGGAAGTCAACCGCTAAGATCCCTGGGCCAGGTTGTTACTGGATCATGAGAGTTAAGGCATCATTGTCTAAGGTGGAACTAAAGGAAGAAAGCTATGCTGGGTCACTGTATTAGGATAAAGAGCGTATTAGTTGTGGCCAGGTCCCTAGGATCCAATGGTGAACAGAGAAGTGTTTGCTAAAGGTGGAGGTACTGTCTCCCTCTAACTATGGGTATCTTCATGGATCTAAAGCACAAGGGCTCCATGAAGAGCCCATTACCCTGTAACAGATGCAAAATTCCTCACAACTGAGGCCATTATTTTAGGGCTAAACATGACAAAGGAATCCATACTTCACCCCCCCTCCCTCTACCCCTCACCGCCGTCTTCCTGGATCACTGCACAGCAAAACCAGGAATAAAGGATCCCCTTCTATTTTTTAAAAGAGTTGGTGGGAGAGAATAGGAGGGAAGGTGAGAGGCATATTAGTAAACACAGAAGAATAAAATAAACTACATCATTTATAGTCATTTTCTAATCTCGGCCCTAACTATACCTCTTTATGAAGTCTTCCTGAGACACTAAAGTTGTCAGGTTCGTCTTTTCTGCTTCCCCAGGACTGTGTACTGACCACCCCTAGTTATTCTGGTGTAACCTCTCGGTCTCCCCACCAGACTGTGAACTTCCCGCAGGGAGGGACAGCTCTCTTTCACCTCTGCGTTCTCAGCGTTGCACCGTGGCCCTAACAAGTGCTCAAAAAACGTTTGCTGTAAGGATGGATTTGTGGAGCGCTTTAGCGCTTCTCTTTGCCGTTCCCGGGATACTCCCAATACCCCTCACTCCACCAGGGGCTCACAGGCCACTAGGGACCGGAGCATCCACATAATTCGGTATGCACTGCCACCCCCTTTATACGCAAATTACACCGCCCCTTTTCTGCAGCAGTTTTTGTATGTTAAGTTTCGCCGTGTTGCATGATGGGAAATGCAGGGTCGAAAAGGGCGGGGCGAGTGGCCCATTCGCTTCCGGCACTGAGGCGCTGGAGGTTGGCCTGCGTTGAGGCCCGCCTCTCGGCAGCGTTGACCCTTCGCGTCTGTCCTCCGCCCCGCCGGAAGAGGTAGAGCTGAGTTTTGCTGGTGGCAGGACGCCCCGAGGCGCCGCAACTGGCGCCTGGGCCTCAGCGCACGCCGGCTGCACCATGGTCCAGCTCAGTGAGTGAAAGGGACCCCGAGACACCTACAAGGCGGTCGTAGGGGCTGGGGGGCGTATGGGACAGTGTGGAGCGGGGAATACTTACCTAGGCCAGCTCGAGGAAACCCGAACCTGAAACAGCCACGCTGCCTTGAGTCTCTCCTCAGTGTTTCTCACTTAATCCTCCCTGAAACCCAGTGAGATTAGTGGCATTCATTTTATAGATGAGGCAGCTGAGGCTCTCATCTGGTCACAGCTAGTAAATGTCAGGCCTGTGCTGAGTGCACTGGAGAATGAGGAGGATGTTATTTCTCTGACTAGAGTGCATAAGCGGAGTTTCACGAAGAAGATGATGTCTAAGCCAGATTGACAAGAATTACTTGGAAATAAGGACGTTTCACAGGAGGAAGGAGATTGTTTCATCTGCCTCATTTTGTCCATTTTGTGCCTTCGGTTCTTGTGTATTAACCACTGTTTTTCTACAGCTACTCTCCTTTGCAAGGCCTACCATGGAGGTCACTTAACCATCCGTCTTACCCTGGGAGGCTGTACCAACCGGCCTTTCTATCGCATCGTGGCTGCTCATAACAAGTGCCCCAGGGATGGCCGTTTCGTGGAGCAGCTGGGCTCCTATGATCCACTGCCCAACAGTCATGGAGAGAAACTGGTTGCTCTCAACCTGGACCGGATCCGACATTGGATCGGCTGTGGAGCCCACCTCTCTAAACCTGTGGAAAAGCTTCTGGGTAACTTGGCTGTAGCCATACCTCATTGAGGGAATTTTAAATAGAAGGCAGTTCCAGGGTGTTGAGAATTAATGATTTTCATTACCTCCAGGCTGCTCGGGACTGGAGTGAGAAGTGAAGTTGTGAGCTAATTGTCATTTTAAATATGGAGAACCCTTTTGTGGACTTCTTTGTGAGACTTTTTGGGTGACTAGGATTTTATGCTAAAAATGGGAATAGTGTGTCTTGAATGGCCATCTGTCAGTTTATCTGCTTTTCAAGTAAGAAAAACTATTGGGAAGTTGACAACATCTGTTGTCTTGCAATGAATTGGAGGGGAGGGAGCTGGGGAAAGAGGTAAGACAGTTTGGCAAGTTAAGAGCATAGCATGTTCTAGGTCAGGTTTCTGTTAGACCTCAGTTCTGTTAGGCTCAGTTCCCAAGGAAACATTTGCTTGTACTGTGTTATAATGAATGAAAATCCTGTTGCTTTTAGGTCTCTCTGGCTTTTTCCCTCTGCATCCCATGATGATCACAAATGCTGAGAGGCTGCGACGGAAACGGGCACGTGAAGTCCTCTTAGCATCTCAGAAAACAGAAACTGAGGCTACAGAAACAAAAACGAACTGACTCCAATGAGCATAACAGTGGGAACAAGGTCAAAGTTCTCTTAAAACACTTGTGCGGAGTTCCTAGTTTTGTTAGATTTAAGGGTCAATAAATGGAGTTTTCTATGTCACCTATGCTCTTCTGGCCTGGCCTGAGCAGGGCCCAGGGAGAGATTTGTTCTTGTCTGATAGAAAGCTAGGGCTAGGAACTAATTAGCTTTTTCAGCCTTCGTCTGGCGAAACATAGTGGCTGTGGGATGGGTTTGACTTTTGGATTGGGCCCTGGGTCTCTGAGACAACTTTATAGTCTGCTTCCTTCCAAGACTTCCCTGTTTCAAAGCCCCAAACCAGCATGTCCATGGCCTGTCCAAGTAATTCTTTCCTTAATCATTTGTCATCTCACCAGTTCAAGACACAGTTACTTTGCCTATTGTTTTTGTAACTGCAGGGTTGTATTGCTTAACACATAATCTCAAATTTTCAAAGGTAGATTTGTTATGAGTTTTTAGGCTGTAATAGTCTACTTTTAAGAATGAGAAACTGGAAGAAATCTAATATTGTCAAGTACCTACATACATTCTCGGCCCTTCATATGCAAGGTTATTTGTGAGATTTATAAAGTATCATGAAAGTAGGTAGGATTATCGCCATTTTATAAATGGGTAAGCTGAGGTTCAGAGGTGGAAACTTGCCCAAGGCCACAGTTTTAATATTGGCAGAGCTAAGATTCAGACCCTAATGTGCCTACCTGGAGAGCCCTTTCCAACATGTATTATCTGTAGTGGGGAGTGGGGAATGAACAAGGATGAGGGGCTTTTCAAATGTCCACTTAAAAAGTCAGCGATAGACTCAGGTATAGGTATCATGAGTTTGGTAATAAAAATGACTGGCTATGCCAAAAACCCCCCACAAAAGACCATGTTATCTGGTCCACCCTAACCTCAGGATTCTCTAAGCACAAGCATGGATTAGATGGTTTTAAGTGCACATCCTGGATAATACAGATTTCAAATTCTGTCCTTAAGACTAGGATATAGGAGATTTATAGAGGAGATTCTAAAGCCCTATCAGTGTAGTGACTTATTCTCTGGGTTTTATATTCTGAGAACAATTAACAACCACCTCAAATTCTGGTGTCATCAAGGCTCCCCAAGGGTTATTACTGGTTGGCCTCCACCTGCTTTGAGGAGATTTTGAAGGCAGGGCGGGCAGAGAGGAACTAATTTTACCTGGGCTTGAGCTTGGCTATGGGAAAGAGAAATACTTTGGAAACAGTAGGGAACTCTGGAAGTTTAAAAGATACTACCCTGGAGAGTAAGTTCTTGGGAAAAGCTTTAAATGGTAGAGCAGGGGAGAATGTGGTTCTGAAAAGTATTGATCAGTGAGAACTGATGTGAAATGGGTTAAGGTAAGATATTTTGAGCTACCGAGTCTCTGCCAACTCAAGTATTTACTTTGTGCCCTTAGCTGTCCTTTGTCTAAGATCTGTATACACGTATTTCCTGTGTGAGCTCTTCTCCCTGATTTCCAAAGTTTTCTCTGGCTTTAGATCTCCAGGCCCAGATTTGTCACCATGTCTTGGATGATTGCATCAGCCTGTCTTGCTACCACCTTCAAATCTAAGGTGCTCAAAATTCAGCTATGCACTTTAGAAAACATTAACAATAACAACAAAAAGGCCTTTGTTTCAGCAGCTGATATTTTTATTAAGATGAAGGTTTGGGTCATCTCCACCAAGCGGAAGGTGATTCAGGAGCAGAAGGGGAATGGGAATGAATCTGTAATAAATGTCAAATATGAAATTTTGAAAGACTGGTATTTTGTGCTTTTTGTTTACTGTAGGCTTTTTCCTTGCAGGGCTCAAGGGAAAGTACCTATGTAGTAGACCCGTCCTGTAGGTTGCAAAATTATTTGGGCCTTAGAACTCTAGGTACTCATCAGGATCACCTCTGAAAAAGAACAAATCTCTTTAACCGTTATTCTTTGGAAAAAAACATGTATAGGAACATGTGAAATTGCTAAATGCTGATGTTATGCTGTTGTTGACTTAAAAAACAGCAGTGTATAGGTTCAACCTAATATGGACAGTCCATGTAATACTGTAAAAGGTTCTGCTGGGATATTGGAGAGAAGATAAGGAGCCAGATTTCCAGAGTACAGCAAGGAGGGGGGTGGTGGCTACCGGGTTTATTTTACCCCACGGAAGGCGGTTCCCGCGCTAGGAGAGTGGGCACACCTGCTCTGCTCCACTGCAATCTCAGACGGTGATAGCCTTTCCGCGCCCCTGTTTGCAGCCGCCGTAAAGTGCGGCGTCGTGATCACGCCTCTTCCGCTCCTCTTGTGACGCAGGCGCCGTGGGCTTTTTGCGCGGGAATAGGAATCAGTTCAGAGCCGTAGCCGGTGTCGCTGGGACCCGCTTTTCTACAGGCCGCCTTTCGCTCTGCACCGCTACCAGCCATGGGGTTGCTGGAGCTGTGTGAGCAAGTGTTCGGCACCGCCGACCTTTACCGAGTGTTGGGCGTGCGGCGTGAGGCCTCAGACGGCGAGGTCCGACGCGGCTACCACAAGGTGTCCCTGCAGGTGCACCCGGACCGGGTGGGCGAGGGCGACAAGGAGGACGCCACCCGCCGCTTCCAGGTACGCAAGTCCCTGCTCCCCCGGCCGCCCGGGCTTGGTCTTCTGGCCGATGGGGCCCCGCCCGGGTGGAGTTCTCAGAACCCGGCTTGGCGCTTTCTAATTTTTATTTCTCGCCTCGCGGTTTCAGTGCAAGGGGCAGGGGTGACTTCCTGGATGCTCTTTCCGCAGATCCTTGGGAAAGTCTATTCCGTTCTGAGTGACAAAGAGCAGAGAGCAGTGTACGATGAGCAGGGAACAGTGGACGAGGATTCCGGTGTGCTGAACCAAGACCGGGACTGGGAAGCCTACTGGAGGTTACTCTTTAAAAAGGTAGAGGGCTCCGGAGGCTTTGACTGTTCTCATTATTCATCAGTAAATGTTTGTCGGATGCTTCTAACGCTTTGCATTTTATGTTGTTTAGGAATCAGCAATTTCTGTTTGGCCTCGAAATATAAATACAAAGGCATTCCTCAGGAGATATATACTGTCATCTTGAAAAACAATGTATTTAACATTTAGGTTGAATCACGCGCGAGCGTTCTCTCCTGTGAAATGGGTCTTTAACTGTTGATGTAGAGTGATTATAGTGAAAAGGGGGAATTTAATTTTTTACAAGATTTGCTTTATCTTCCATATCTAAATGTGAGTCCTGAGTGTTTTCCTGGGTCTCTTCCCACCTTTGGGAACCTCACTTAAATGTTGCTGGTCTGTAGTTTAGCAGTTATGAAGGTTGGACTAGGGAGAACTCTGGAAAAGCTTTGGCATAGAAAATTTGGTTTTTTTTTCAACAATTTCAACTAAAAAAACTTGTATTTGGGGAGAAACATCTCAATATCTCAATCTAATTTTACTAGTATATCTTTTATTTAAAATATCAAAATTAAAACATGTTTCTTGTGTAGATATCTTTAGAAGACATTCAAGCTTTTGAAAAGGCATACAAAGGTTCTGAAGAAGAGCTGGCTGATATTAAACAGGCCTATGTGGACTTCAAGGGAGACATGGATCAGATTATGGAGTCTGTGCTGTGTGTGCAGTACACAGAGGAACCCAGGATAAGGAACATTGTTCAGCAAGCCATTGATGCTGGAGAGGTCCCATCCTATAATGCCTTTGTCAAGGAATCGAAGCAAAAGATGAATGCAAGGAAAAGGAGGGTAAGATTGTGAATGCTATTTATTATTTATGTCATGACTGCTTCCAAAAAGAATTTGAGGATATTTACAAAAAATGGAAATATAGACAAGATTGCTGAAATAAGGATTAACTTGCTGTGTAGTTACCTAATAACTACACCATATTTATTATGTGTACCATATTCACCAGCTCACCAAGAGAAACTGTTTTTCCGTAGTATATTGTGCTCAAGAGGATTTGACTGTGAATTATTGAAATAATATCATCTCAAAGTAACAATATTCTTCATATGGGCCAATTCTTGTAGCTTCGCTGAGGTGTTTCTTAGGAGATGAAGTATTGGAAGTCCAGATACATATGCTAGACAGTGGTTCTCACTTGTTTAAAAGCATGGGGAGAGGGCGACAGAGACTTTTTAAAAAAAATGTGTCTTGTTAATACAGATTCCTTTGCTCTTGCCCAAATTGATTCTGGAGTTGGGCCTAGAATATACATATTTTAAACAAACTATTTATTTTGATGGTGTCTTTCCAAACACACTTTGAGGAACACTTTTGAGGCCTGTGTGTCTTGCACACACATATTAAACTGGAATTGGTGGGGGTAGGGATGATGGCAAGGGAAAGGAGCTTAAGGACAGCTGGGGTTCTCCGAGGGCGTGGATTCCAAGTAGCAGACATCTGCACCTCTGATCTTTTGGGGAACGCCAAATAGGTACCAAAGTACCCTTTGCCTCAGCCTGGCTTCTATAATGGGAGCTCCATGGAGAGCTGACAGTGTAAGAGTTTAGATCTTTGCTGGGTACCTGAGGTGAATTCCTTATTTCGTATGGCTGAACTGGAAGTGGAGGCAGGCCTGCAGCTTTTAGATACAAGATACACATAAGGAAAAGCTGATGTGTGTGTTGAGAGAAGTGGAATGTGTATCATCATCATGGTTCATAGGTTACATCTGCTTAGACTCAGGCTGGCCGTTTGTTAGTAATGATTTTCTCAGGTGAAACTGAGCACAACTGTATTCAGTAATAGGCTGTTAGGTCGAGAAGCTTCCCTAGAGTAAGGGGGTGGGTGGCTGGCTGGCATAGAGACTCCAGCAAGCTAGAGGAGAGGGATATAGTATTGAAAGAGAGAAATTGGATACAAGGACTGAAAGTAGACGATGGAAACTCTTTACTGGAGTAACAAGGTCCTAATGTGTTGTAATTTCAAGTATTAATAGTATTTATTGCTATTTAGAAGATTCACTGGGGATTGGGGCCTCTTAATAGTCTTAGTTGCTGCCCTGAAGGAAAAAATGAACTTACTAACCTTTCCCAAAGTGTTCTTCTGGTATTTTGAAATCAGGTAAAGAAAGATTAAAACTGAATTTGTTAGCGTTTATTTTGACTTGGGGAATTTAAACCAGGGTTGCTTTCAAGGCTGCCACCAGTCACATGTAGTAAATTGGGTTTCCAGAAGAGGAATCTGAGGTACTTGTATCCTGGCAATATTTTTGAGGGCCTTCTTAGTTAAGTGACATTTCTTAGCTCTTCTAGAGTTTTGTTTTCCTTTCTATCACCATGTGGTTTGTTAATACCAAACTACTTGCTACCCGTAGCAAGTAGAAATGGGGAAAACTCAGAAATGCTTATTGGAATCAGGATATACTGCTTGCTCTCAGCAGTTGTGCCTTTTAATGAATGATATATTTATGTAATATTATCCTATATATAATCCTCAAATTGAAAGGGTCTTATCCTAGATTTGATTTTGGCAAAGGGTGTATTTTTAGCATTTGCCCGCTTGTCATGGAGTCTCATGTAAGTTTCTCTTTTAGGCTCAGGAAGAGGCTAAAGAAGCAGAAAAGAGCAGGAAGGAGTTGGGACTGGAAGGAGTACATAACTTAAAAGCAGTCATTCAGGTAAACTTGACAGTCTGTGAAAGTTGCTGCCATTTCTTTCATGTTCTGATTCCTACTGCTAATATTTTCTTTGGCGTATATGTATAGTGTTGTGGGTATTTTAGTTTTTCTTTTAAGACATAATTCACGCACCACGTATTCATCTTTTTAAAGTGTGCAATTCAGTGGTTTTTAGTATACATCATGTTGTACAACGAGCAGCACTGTCTAATTCCGGAACATTTCATCACCCTATAAAGAAACCCCCTTAACCATTAGTAGTCACTCCCTATTCTCCCTTCCCACCAGCCCAGCTCCTAAGTACTTTTGTCTTTGTGGATAGTCTTATGTTTTGAAAGCTTGTGTTTTAACTCTTAAACAGAGCAGACAAAAGGATCGGCAAAAGGAAATGGACAGTTTTCTGGCTCAGATGGAAACAAAGTACTGCAAACCTTCCAATCGAGGAGGGAAAAAAACAGCTCTCAAGAAAGGAAAGAAATAATGGAATTTTCTCTTCAAAAGTCCTTAGGTGTTAATTGGTGCCGTTATAGGCAAGGTACAGTCAAGATTTGAAGACAAAAGTTGATCCAACCCTTAAGTTGTCTTTCCTGCCTAAACTATTCAGATTGATTGATTGTAAACCAGAATCTCTCAACCCGATCTTAGTAGACCCTAGAAATTCCCTGACATTCTGTGCAGTCCCGGTATGAAGAAATTTGGTGGTGACTGTTGAGGAAAGAGGAGGTTGGTATACTTCCTGACAGCACTTGCTTCTGTGGAGATTCTGTACAAGAAACTATTTAGAATGCTGG